GCGACTCATGGCAATCACACTCGAAAAGGACCGCCACACACGAAACCCACCCCTCATGACGGGGGCGCCAGCGCCGGCATAACCCGTTAGATGTATTTAAGCCTCAAATGCTTAGAAACATGAACGCCACGCTCAGGTAGCCCTGCAGGTACTCCTGATGGTCCATCCCAAAAGTAGAGCTCCCCCTGCACAATCGCGTCCAGCACCTCCGGCATAATGTCGGAAGTGCCGAAGGTCGCGCAGCCGGCAGCGTTCAGGCGAGGTGCCCGGGAGGTGCCTGCCTGCTTGCTTGCTTTGAATGTTAATTATCGACTTGCGCTTATTGCTGACCCTTGCTTGCTTGCCTTGCTCTCGTTGTTGTTTTTACCTAAGTAAAATCCATCAATAGCGATCTTTTTTCTTAACTAACAAACTTCTTACCTTGTTGCTATTGATATCAATAGCAAGATCCATCTGCAGATCTCACTTGCTGATTTTAGGACTATTATTTTGTTAGTTGAACTCATCATACAGTGACCCGACTCTGTCTTTGCATCTACATGGCGATGTCCGGCAGAAATGTGTGTCCGTATTAACTAGTAGAAAAAGGGGTGTTTGCGATGTGTTTGAACCGTCATATCAGTGATTGCGATGGCATGAAAATGGCTGCGATTGCATCACTTTGTGTCAAATGGCATCGCAACTGGTGTCAAACAGATTGCCTTCTATCGGTAATCGTGAAACGCGCGATCGCCATGGGCGCCTAGGTGGAGATCGTCTTGGTATGAGACCCACTCTTCTAGGGCTTTGGATCGGCGATTTGTTCCAACAAGATAGGCGTACATGGCCTACAGTGGGCTTCACCTTCCTAAGCAACAAACGTTGTGAGGCCTGTTCGACGGTGCCTCTGATGGATCTTTGGTTTTGGGTGGCCGCAACGTGCATTGGCGTATGGGCAGCCCTGCGCCGCGCTGGAGGTTTAAACATCTAAAGAACGCCGAGAAGGCGCCTGCTGCATAAACAGGGCAAAACGCACGGGACGAGCAGGCCGGGAAGGCCCCAAAGAAGCAGCTTGGACCAGCGAAGAAGGCTCAAACGGCGACACCATGGCAAGCCGTTGATGGTTCGGCATTGGAGATCTACACAACAAAGTCCATCGACACGGAGATGGTGGCATCCTTCACAGAGAGGATCCGAGAAAGGGGTACCCAATATAGAGGAGAAGCTTGGAGGGGCCGCATCATGTGGGTGCGCCCTAGAAGGACGCGGCGCTCGCTTGAGGGTGGCCACAGCCGCCCAAAGAGTGTACAAGGATGTGAGCTTATAAGTGAAAATTCCAACACATGCCCAGGTCAGAAAGTGTAGCATGGGGTTGGTTTGTAATGTGGCGCAGTGGGTGTCTGTGTAAAGGTGCAATTCGCGGCTCCAAACTGGTGTTTGGGTCAAGAATGCACAGAAACTGCGCTGATGGGCTTCAGTTGTGCACTACACAAAGTGGCGGGCTGTGTCCTGTTAGAGAGAAGGTATCAAACACATTTCTGTGTGCTCAAAATGTAGTTTCAGGCATTCAGTGTTATTTAGTCAGCACGAGGTCCATTCACCCGGGCAGTGGTACCTGGGCTCTTGAGTGTTCAATCACAGTCGCCCCTTGATTTTGGCGGCCAAAACCGTATGAAGAAAAAGACGCTCTTTAACGAACGGCTATCATGAACAGCTGCACAATCAAAACTATTTACAAAATTTTCAATATGGTGCTGCACCTCCCGTGCACAACACAACACCGTAACAATAGTTGAGCATCTGAAAGTGTTGTCTAATACTAAAAACACAATGACATGTTGCCATGGGGCAATGCAAACAAACCCAAATACAAAACATAGGTTATGTGGCCGAACATCAAAAGCAATATGCCCAGCCCTTTGACAATACTCAGCCACTACAAAAGCACAAGACTAGACACAATAAACTGATCAGGAACATGTTCCGAAACGTGCCCACACAATATTAGGCAGCTTCTTCCAAGACAACCTCAACAATTGGGCCCCTTTTCAAGCTATCCAAATTCCATACTATTACAAGTACACAAAATGTGCCCTTGCACCCACGCAAACCCCTACCAACACATTGCCACTCCTCCCCTGTGTCCCATGCCACCAAGGGAAGGTGGACATCACTCATGGGCTAGAAAAAGTGCATTGGCAGCTGCGCAAACACAGAAAAAAATGGTGCCACACACAGGACCACTTTAAAAACAAAACAACCCTTTTCAATGGTCTGACATACAGTCAGCCCTCCCCATTCAGAACCAATGGATGAGCTGTTGGCCCTTCCACAGGACCATAAACAATCCGGTGCACTTGTCATTTCGAAACAACCACCACCCTCTCACGTTTTCTTTTTCCCACTAGGCCAACTCTCATCAATGTTTCCTTACTAACTATACACTTTCACCGAATTCGGTGTGGCTTGCACCTTGGGTGAAGTGTAAAGCGCACAATTAGCACACAGAGTGGAGAGAATCAACTTGCTTCTGATTTTCACTCCCTCATCCTTGTGATGTGCTGAACTTTTCAATGCCATCCTAGCCCATGACCTTTAGTGCATGCAAGTGCTTATAGTAAGAGTGCTATTAGTAACTTTGCATGACACAAGGACTGACACCGTGGCTGGGCTCTGAGATCCCACAGAGCCAGTACACATGCCACATCAGCTCTGTGTGTGAAAGTGCATTTCAAGTCTCCACTTTGAACGTAACCTCACACTTCACATGAGCCCCATTTTTCAAGTAGATTACTAAATCAATTGTCTTTGCTCGTCAGGTCAGACAGCCCAGATGGTCTTTCTCAGACCAGGGAATAGTTGGTCAGACTGTCCCAATCTACCCACACAGCCTGCGCCCTTGAGGCAAAGGACCTCCCAGAATTGTCATTGAGTCCAATCAGTGGAGCGCTGAATGGCGACATGAATCTGGTGAGAACATGGGGTGGCATCCCACATCCAGCCCTTGCTTCCCTAACTTTCCACTGCCCTCATTCTCACTCTTAAGATTTGTGGCTGTCCACTCATAACCCATTTTCGGAGTGTTTCCTCTTTGTTTTACTTTTTTTATATCAGCAATGGTGGCATACTCGGGCCATCCCATGCAACATGCATAGCGCATATGGTAGATACCCATCGTATGCCAACTACATATTGTATTTAACCGGTATTAGTAGGCATGCATTGGACACCAAAATGAGCTGTGGATATTAATAGTGGATCATGTATACTAGGCTAGTATAACGCTATAACGCTAAGCGCAGTTTGGACCCCTGATCTCAAAGAGTAGACAAAGTTTTTTTTGACAAAATAGGCCGTGAAATGCCCAGAAATAGGCAAAAATGGCCATGCTATTGCGGCATGTTGTCAACCTCTTCACGGGAGCTGGCGGCCTTGATTTGGTGCTGCACGAGGCAGGTGGTGGCAAGTGGTGGCGACTGGCAATTGGGGGTAACAGGGGTTCGCTGGAATGCTCGAGGCGTGTTTGCCTTTGCAACGCAAAGAACGAGGACTGACATTGGTGTCGACTCGCTGGGGTGCTACGTCGCGACGACGGGCTTGACATACAGCGTTTTCCCGGGCTGATGGCGGCTGGGAAGGCTGATGGAATCTGTGACTGGGTTTGTGGCCTGGTGGCAGTGCGATGTGCAAATTGGGGACGGGCCCAGCCATCACAGCGTTTTGCGGGCAGTTTTGCATTGCGGGGTCTCACAACGGCAGCGGTCCCGACAAGCGCCGTCACTTGCCCATTCATGGCGCTGGGCCTTGGGGCGCCCTTGGCAGGCGCCAGGCCGGAATCTGCTTTGGCTGGCCATGGAGCAGGTTAACACAATTCATAAACCAGGGCGGCTTTCATTTCTTGATCGTTTCCTTGATCAGGCCCTATGGCGTTGGTCGCTGCCCTACGATCCTGTGCTGAGAGCGCCAACGGCGGCCAGTCGACCATGCGGTCTTTCGCAGGCCCCCTTCCACATTCTCCTCGACAGCATCCACCCCGACCCGATCGCCCCCGTCGATATGCGAATCGCAGGGGACGCGGTTTGGTCCAAACTGGGCAATGCGGTTCAACGCCAGCCGCCAACTTCCCTTGCCACCATCCGCGCCTTGGCTCGTTTCTGTCTACATTTTGGGGTGGATGCTAACACCGGGTCATGGATGCGCATGGTTTCGACCCCAATAGAGTGGGGTGGATACTAATAGGGGGTTGCCTACTGCTACGGGGTAAATATGGGTAAGTGACACCCAGTGAAACAGCTGTTTCACGTGGTCATTATGTGGCGTCGCGAACAGCACGTCTTTGGCCAGACACATGAGCAACCTACCCAGGGAAATCGCTAATCATTATGTGGCGTCACGAGCACACACCGAACCCGGGACACGGGAAGTGCTGGGAAGTCCCCGCGCCCCATGTCCGCCTGAACGGCGCCGTTTCCTGCGTCATCACCTCGCCAACGCAAGGATTCTCTGCCCATTGACTGACGTCAACCGACACCGATTGACTGGCATCCGCCAACCGACCATGTAGGGCGTGGCCTCCTGTTCCGCTTCGCGCATGCTGCGGCGGCGCACCCCAAACTAGACCTCACGATGGGCAGCCGTGGCGAAGCGCCACATCCCCACCCCGCAAAGCCCTCCCCCCCCTCGTGTTTGACCACGGGGTCAAGTTGCAGCACCGCCCTTCGGATCCCCACCTCCACTCCCTACCCTCACCACCCCTCTCGCGCCCACAGCGCCACGGAGCCGTTTCAGGCACCCCCCTGAACCCCCCCACTGCCCACATCCCCACAAATCCTCCCCAGCGAGATGTTCGCAAAAGGGCGGAAATTCGGTCGTGAGACGGAGGCCGGGGATTTGGAAGGCGGGTGGAGGGCCTGGGGGCGGCCGTCCGCCAAATGGCTGGGGGCGCTGAGCGCCATCTCCTCGCTGGCGGTCCTGATCGGCATCGTGGCAATTGTGCTTGGGATCATGGCCCTGCGCACAGCCAACGACGCGGAGGAAAGGCTGGACGGGGTCGAGGGGATCATCGCCAGCGCGACGGAGGACGTAATGGCGATCCGGCCTCAGGCCGGGGGCGGCTCCAACCAGGCGGTGAGCAACGACACGGCCAGCTTGGCGACGAACCAGACGGAAGGGGAGGAAGGTTCTCCTCCTGAGGCGTCAGGGACCATGCCTGGCCCGGACTTCAACGGGACGGTTGATGCCGACGGCGCGCTGGCCCTGTTCGAGTCCACACTGGCGGTGGTGGTGCACGGGCGGGACGACGACCCGTTCTGGCACACCGTGCAGCAGGGCGCCAAGGACGCCGCTCAGTTTTTGGGGTGAGCGGACCCGAATTCCTGCGCCTCGTTTGTCCGTCTGCATTTGTTTGTCTGCGTTTGCGTTTGTTGGATTTGCCTTGGCGAGGCGAGGCAGGGAGCTCGCTATTTGGCAGGCGGGGGCGCGAAAAATGCCATTCGGGCAGGAGAGCGGGCAGCGCGCTGGGGCGCCCGCTCCTGAGCAAGCGGCCTCGGGGTGTCTCTTTGACGAAGAATGGAATTCAGTTTCGCGGAAGACGACGGGAGTCGTCTCGGACTCAGCTGTTCGGCTGTCTCGACGCCCAGTTCTCCCCCCGTAGCTTCGGCCTTCCCCGCCACGCTCAATCGGCGCTTCTGTCCAATTGGCGAGTCGCCGATCGTCTCGTCGGGGCGGTCGCGTCCTAGCCCACGAGTCTGGCACGGTCAGCCAACCACGGGGTCAAACTGGGCGCCATGACCGCCGTGCAAGGAAAACCAGGCACCGCCAATTTTGCCGGCGGTGTCGAGGTGGCATCCGCTGGACGGGAGCGGCGGGTGGGCCGTGGGTCTGGACTGTCGGAATCGATCTCGCACGCCGCGACAATGAACGCGGGCATTTGGCGTCCAGAGATGCTCCCGATCGCCGTCCGGCCGATCGTGGCTATGTGCACCACCAGCGCGCCACCCCACGAGAGGGCGACTTGAAACGCAACACAGAAGCCACCTCGCCAAAATCTTCCGTGCGCGTGATTGGCTCCTTCACTCTGAATTTCCCCGTGGGCCAGTGACCTGGCCCGCCGGCCCCACTGTCTGTGGCGCCACTCTCCGGCACCCGTCCATCCACGGCTTCCGTGCGGCTCCAAACGCCGTTTTCTGCGTTGGCCGCGAAACGGAGTTGAAAAAACAGGGCGAGCTCGCAAAAACGGCGCCCCGCCCGTGCTGCGGGGGCTGGCGCGGGGCAGGGCAGGCACTCCCGGGACACGTGATTGCGCCGGGAGCCCATGTGGGAGGGCATCTCTGTCAGTGCGCGGCGCTGGGACGGGGGGGGTGCTGTTGGTCACTTGCAAGTAATCAAACAGCACCGTCGACGCAACGCCACCCAGCTGCAAAGATCCTCCGACTGCAGCGCCGTGCGCCACAAAAGCGCCGGTGACTACTGTCAGCTTCTCCGTCCGCCTGCGCACAGCTTCTCCGCCGCTCCCGCGCTGCCCCGACCAGCCGATGACATGGACAGGAGTAATGTTTGCGTGATCAGATACAACGCGCGGGTGAGCGGGGTGTTGGGTGCAGCACTGTTGGAACTGCAACGGTAAAGTGGATGTCAGAACCGTGAATATAATAGTATCTATAATAGTAGCTATCTTTTCCGTAGTAATATAATGGTAGCTATCTTTTCCGTGTGGATCCCTTCTTCTTCCGCTGACAAGCCCAACGCAGGTCAGTGGGTTAGTGGTTTAGGATTTGGGGTGTCCGGAAACAGGATGGGATCCACACGAAAAGACAGAGCGCCTCACCTCATGCCGTCGGAACTTGGGATTGATTCTGGTGCGTGTTGACACATGGACTGCGTGTTTTGTTTGCCCGCCCAGTCCTTTCCCAGTCCTTTCCATTGAATCAGATGGCAACTGCCATCACAAGTTCGTCAATCCGAAGCAGGGGCTATGTTCACGCTGCCTTCTTCATCTCTCCGTTCATGCCAACTACCGTTGGATCTGTCTTCGGGTTTGCTAACTCGGACACTGTGCAACATACAGCTTACCTGACTGTAAAAACACGAGAAACCACCCTTGTGTCATGTTGGCTCTTTGCACTGAGGATACGTGCATTCATCCTGGCGACTAGGTTTCATTTCTTTTATGACAACCCGGACAGCGTAGACGACGAGCAGGCGCTGGATCAGATGGAGATGGACATACGGCGTGCGCGCTATGGCCTGTTTGATGGCCTCATAGTCTCCATCCCCGACAGCGACAGGCTGAGGGACGCCATTGCCTTTGCTGCCGACGAGATGCCCGTGCTGTCCATCAATGCAGGGCATGAGGACTTTGATGACTTGGGCATGTTCACGCACATTGGCATACCAGAGTTCGAGGCAGGACAGCAGGCTGGAGAGATAATGAAAGACCGGGGGGTCAAGGTGGGCGTTTTTCCCTCCCAGTCTGTCTGGTTGTCTACTCCACAACACAGGAGAATGTTGGGTGGGGCTCAGGAATTCGATCTTGTGACGTTGAACAAACTTGGATGGAACCTCTCCGTGCCCAGCATTGCCTGCATGGTGCGAGGGCTTGCTTTTGTCACTCTTGACAACGTTTTGCAGAACTCGCCTTGACGAAGCTCCGACCAGTACAGGGCAATGACGGCAGAGCAACCTTCGCAACGTTTGGTCTGTAGTGTTTACTGAAAGCAGGACTGCTGTTTGGTATGGGGCCAGGAAGATGGTCTTATGGTTCCAGCTGCAATGTTTCTTTGTCTTCACTCCAACTCAATACTCGAATTTCAAACACATTGGACCTGGATTCAAGTCCGAACATCAACATCACATGCAAAATATCAGATTTCTACTTTCTCTAAACAGCCCAGTGCCCAAATGCCAGCATCATGTGTGACAGGGCAGACGTGTCCCCGTGTGCTGGAATGGAAGTGGCCATCCTGTTCTTCACATGGGTGAGGGTGTTGATCTGAGCAGGAGCAAGTCTCACATTAGTACACTACCAGCGTTCAATGTGACTATACCCTTTGAACTGGCGCCCTTCAACAAAAATATGGATGGGAACTTACGCAGTGGTACTTCAGTAATGTACGGAGGGTGGGGGCTGTTCGCCTGGAAACTGAATCATTGCAATTGGCAAGTAGAAAATCCTCAGGGCTGTGAATGTGAAGTTGTTGAAGTCCACAAGCTTCACATTCACAGCCATGCAGATGTTTCACTTGTCCAGGGCACGTATCTGCCAGGGGTGGGTTGGAGAGAGGCTGGTGAAACATGGCCTGAACTATTCGGTGGCGACTGCATGGTCTTGATGCCTTCCAATGCACAGTACACTGCTTGTGTGCAGGTTTTCAGCAGCTGGATTGCAGTCGAAACAGCAGCAAACTTTCATAAGATAGGAGGGCCCTTTGCCCCAGGGATGGCATGCATGCAGCACATCTAATATGTTCCTCCACCCCCATCTTGTACTTTTATCCGCTCACCACCCATCTGCAACACACACACACACACATGCATATAGGCAAGAGCCAGAATGTGTTCTGATTGTTGTCTTTGTCCTGCCTGCGATGCAGAGTGCCATCTGTGTTCTGCATGAGGACACTGTCCCCTTCCAACAGCGGTGTGGAGGTTTCGAGTTGGGTTTGGAGGGCACTGTCACAAACATCACACTCACTCGGGAGCAGAGTGTAAGTTGTCATGCCGCACACAGGATCTTGCATGAGCTATTGGCAGGCTCCCAGTATTTAATCCAACTAGTGGGCGTTCTTAAGAGCTCCTTTTTCCTGAAGCTTTAGTGCATTTCCCTTCTGACATCTTTTCTCATAGGTTTGCATGCAGTGCCATTTGCAAGTTTTTCACTGAGCAACTCTGCACGAGATGCGTCGTGCCAAGCTTCAGTGAAGCAAATGGCCTCATCTTGCACTCCTTGGCATCAGAAGAAATTTTCCTGTCCATTTACAGCTGCCTTCCATACAGTCAGTGCAATGTATCATCCCCTTTGATGAAGCAGCATTTTAGATGGAAATTGCTAGCCACTGGTGCAATTGCGGCATTGCCCATAAGCCAACGCTCATTGCGGTCGCCCAAAACCAAAGACCCAGTCATAAACTCCAATGATTCTTTTTGCTCGGAAAGGTGGAGCCCACTGTGTGCCATGGCTGCCTGTCTCGTTGCCACAAGTCCCGATCCAATGCCTAAACAAATGCAAGCCTCATCAGGCCGAGACCCCCTGGGCACGGACGTCGGCGCCCGTGGCGATCTCATGTTGGAGCACCCGCAAGCGCATTCCTGCCCGACATCACCACCCAGGTTCAAGGGCCGCCTGGGCCCTGGCAAGCGTGGTCGACAACTTGACGTCAACAATGATACAAGTCAACAAATTGTGTAGCTGTGCAGCCCACGGTATCCATGGTAACGCAACAGCAACAAGCCAGCAAGTGAAGACCACAATGGCAACAATTCAACCAGTAAAGCTCAACAGTAAAACCAAGCCAACAAATCAAAATGAACAAATTGCGCAGGGACGTAGCGAATGGCGGCGCAGGACTTGCCCTTAGTCGCAACTAACGCACGGGCACTCGCGCCGCAGGCCGATGACATCCAATCCGCCATCGAGGACGCCCTCGCCTCCAACGCCGACCTCCAGGGCGTCCTGACCCTGGGGCCGACCGGCTTTGCCCCAGCGCGGGAGGCGCTGCAGGGCAGGATCTGCGACCCGGGCACCTCGCCGGACACCGCCGACTGCGTGGCCTTCGGCACCTTCGACACCACGCCGGAGGTGCTGGATGCGATTGTGCAGGGGGAGCTCGACTTTGGGATGGACCAGCAGGAGTACCTGCAGGGCTACCTGGGAGTGGCGTTCATGTTCCTTAAGGCCACCTACGGCGTCACGCCCGGCGCCGGGGCCCCCGTCGTGACGGGTGAGTGTCGGCGCGCGACGCGCCTTTTCGGGGGTATTTTTTCATTTTTTGTTGACAGTTTTTATTTTGTCAAAGTTTTTATGTTTGTTCTGGGGTATTTCCCTCGCGATCGACTATAATTGCGATGCTTTCCCTTTTGCTACTATAGTTGCTGTTGCATACTAATGGCATACGGTACACTATTACTACGATAACTACTGTTGGTACAACAATTTATTTCGCTCATTTCTAAGGCAATGCCTTTGAATGCGATAATTTGCTGCGATAGTTCCCCTTTTGTCGGTAGTCAGTTGGGGGTGGCCCTGCACCGGGGTTGCCATGGTGTCGGCTGCCCACATGTATATAGGTCCGAAAGGGTGTTTGAGTGCAGTGGCGTATCGTTCCCATTAATGTCAGCACGGTGATACTCTGTCATGCAGCTGTCCTCGCAGCAGTCTGATGAATTGAACGCGACGTGATGTCATCCAACACAATTTGATGCAAGGATTATTGCGAGAACGACAAGGACATCAAGAAGTGGTTGTGCTCTGTGTGGCATTTATGGGGAAAATTAGATATGGTGAACTTGGTGCCATGTTATGGCGAAATGTACATGGGGACATTGGAGACACGGAATGGACATGCTTGCAGTGAATACTATTTGACTGGTACACTCACCCTGTAGTTCATCCAGTTGCAGCTTGCTTCCAGTGCCTAGGAGTGACCATGCGTGATACCTTGGTTTCCGCTATCATCATAATCGTGTGCTGCTACGATCACAAATGGAACATTAATGCTATTTGGATGGAGCTCAACGCAATGTGGGTGCGATCAGAAAATTTCATGACACAGGTCCGGTCGTCGTGGATAACCGCGAGGCCGCCGAGATCTTGCTGCAGAGGAACTTCACCTCTGGAATGACCATTGGGAACAAGACGGCGCGCGGGCTGGACATCCGCTATGTGGTGCATGGCAAGCCGAAGGACACCTTCTGGAAGTTTGTCAAGGCCGGCGTCAAGCTCACTGCGCGGCAGCACGGGGTGGGTGCTGAGCGTGATTCACGGTCAGGCGAAATTGAGAAAACTAAATGCCGCAGGGAATCTGCAGAGTTCAGCATCCCTGCGGGAGATTGCAGCAGTACATGTATTGTAGCAGTACTGGTATGTATATGATGTACAGCGTATGTTGTATGTACAAGCATGAACAGTAGGCAACTAGCAACGTCAAGCTCACTACGCAGCTAAACAGGGTGGGTGCCGGGCGCAACTCGCAGTCAGACGAAATTGAGAAACAAATGGCCGCAGGAAATCCAGGAAGTTCAACGTCCCCATGGTAATCTGCGCCAGTGCAGCATATACTGCATGTGTTCAGCATATATACAGTACAGCATATGTTGCATATAAATGCACATACATGCACAAACATACTGTATGTAGTACATATGCTCAAGCAACCGCAGATTGACGCCAATCGTGATTGGCGCCATTTGTTGCCCATCACCAGTTGCAAATGGGCTGATGAGAGGCACTCCCTCACTCACCCTCGCCGGTTGTTCTTGTGGCGACAGTGAAGATAGATGTTGGATCGCATACCAGGACATCAATGACCTCTAAGCCCTTTGGCATTTGAAAGCAAAGAAATCAGAAAATGAAAGGACGGCATTCGAAAATGCTTTCCCAGCTGCAAAGACCGTGGCATCTTGTGACTAAATTTGCGGAACCAGCACATCTTTCATATGCGCGGCGGGCTGCTTCAAAGCATTTTGGTCATGCGCACGCACCAAACAACATTTCGTGCAAAATGTCGTTAGTGAGCCAATAGCAGAATTAGTGTACAACATCTTGATTTCCAAGCAAATTATAAAAACTATTGTGTTCAATATGTGCAATAGACCCATAATGCAATAAACATGCTCAAGATCAAAGAAAAACATGTTTTGAGGTTGCGCAACATTACCATTTCTATACTTGTGTAATATCCACTAACGACATTTTGCACGAAAGGTTGTTACCAGCAGACATTTTATCGGGAAACAAATCGTACACTATTCAGCACTTTACATTCTTGTGTTATACTACTTTGTCCTTGCAGCGTTTTCGTTTACTGATGCCTCTCGCCCTTGCGTTCCGCCCAGCTGCGCATAGACTACCGGGAGCCGTCCCAATCCGCCGACGAAAACGAGGTCCGCAAGTTCATGGTGGACTCCATCAACGAGGCCGTGGAGGACGGCGTGGACGGCCTGGTCGTGACCATCCCCAATGACAGCCCCACTCTCAGGAACGCCATTGTGGCCGCGGGGGCCGCGGGCATCCCGGTGGTGTCCATCAATGGCGGGGACGACCGGATACGGGAGGAGGAGTACGGGGTTGTGCTGCACGTGGGCCAGGGGGAGGAGTTTTCCGGCAGGTGGGGTGTGGGTGGTAATTTTTGTGTACACCAGGGCCAAATCTTCGGTTCAGTTTTGCACGACAGCTTCTATAACGATCTGTAAAGCTCCTTTCTAAAGCTTCTTACGTAATCCTCCAAAAGGCTTTGTAGGGTTTTGCAGTTTTGCAACGAGTTTCGTCGCAAAACTAGAAATGATGATTAAGCCTGTTCCCAGGCATCTTGCGCACATGAGCCATGGCTGTGGATTGCGCTGTGCATCGCGCGACGCGTGGGGCAGGGCGTGAGTTTTCTCTGGGAGGTGGATGTGCGGGCATGGATTTTTGTGTGCTGGGCGTTCTTCTGCTCGACGTGCAATTTGAAACTGCGAGCAAGCCCGTTCCCAGGAATTTCGCACTGCTGAGAGTCGACAGACGCCCACGGCGGGTGTGCCGCTCATCAGCAGCACTGTTTTTGGGAAACATCGGTAAAAGAACTAAAGTTTGCACTAACTCTTTGCACAAATTTCCATGAGAGGCTGCTCAGCGTCGCGACAGCCATTTCGATGTTGCCCGCAGGCAAGTCGGAAAGCGCCTTGTGCGGTCGGGCGCCGCCAGGGCTCTGTGTTACATCCACGACGCCAGCGACGTCACCCTGAAGGAGCGCTGCGACGGCCTCCAGGATGGAATGCAGGAGGTCAACCCGGAAGCTGTGGTGGTTCCGTTCGAGTCTCCGGCGAATCTGACGTCAAGGCAGATGTCGTGAGTGTGCAACATTTGGAAGGAATGCTGCAAGAATTCCACAGTGCGCTTCTTTGCAGTATTCTTCCTGAACAAGCGATGCTCCATATATTACATCCTGCGCCCCAGTAAAAATTCAGCCAAAGTACACGATCCTGAAAGTCGTGTATTGTGTCATGCGTGGAAAAATCGTGCGCTGATCGTCAGCAGATCACAAAGAACACGATTGTTAAAATCGTGTGGTTTTCAGTCCTGTGTAAGTGCACGAATGTGAATCACATTAAAGCCATGGACGGCACGATTGATAGCACGTCTAAAACGATCTTAAGCGTGTACAAAGCAGCGACGTGCAAAATCGTGCTAAGGAATACGCAGTATTACCACGATTGCACAAGATTGTACTCCGCGTAAAATGGACGGCTTTTTCCTGGTGAACTATCATTTTGGAATTCGACCAGCCTTTGACACTGCGTTGGAAGTTGATGTATTCCCTGTCTCGGCGCATTGGGTGCTCTACTCTGGTGATAATGGTGGCGCAAATCTTCGCATACTGTTGTAGCACAATTTTGCTGCATCGCTGCTTCTTGAAAAGGTTCCTCATGATGTTGGTTCCTCATGATGTTGGGACCTTCCTGCTGCTCCTGCCGCGCTGTGTCGATTGGTGTCGCTGTGGCGCTTGAACAGTGCCGCATCACCTCTTGCCACATGGGACGAAGCATGTTTATATATTGTACATATTTTGCACAATGTACACATTTGCATTCATTTTGTTTATATTTGCAAGCTTACGAGATTGAACCTTGCTCAGAATAAGGGTGTGCGGCACACAAGAACAACATTGATGATCATTAGGTGAAGATTGTTTTAATCAATGTATGAAAATTTTTATGGAGCTGAAAATCGCGCATCAGTCATGCAGATGGAGCTGTCGATGGTCCACATAATGCACTTTTGTATTCTTACCCAAATTTCCGGCACCATTTTATCAGTGATTGCACGGCATATTTTGTGTTTGATACAATCGATTTCAGAGCTCGTACAGCGATCCAGCGGGTTGCTAAAGTCACACAAGACCTACATCTCCAAAATGAGCCATTGGACATTTTCAAATTCCATTCCTAACTCGTTTTAGGCTGATGAAAATGGAGTACTGACAATGTGAGGCGCGGTAAAACGGGGCTAAATGAAGCTACCTTCAGTTGTTGGTACTATTGTCACCAGCGATTGCACCATATGCTTCTTGCTTCTGTCGAGCGCTGTGATTTCCAGAGGGCTGGACAGCGACAGAACGTGCGTAGCTGAATCGCGCGGGGCCTGCATTCCCCCCTTCATGCATTTCATAGAATGCAATTTCATTTATAAATATGTAAAATCGCCAAAAGCCGATTGTCAAAGATATGAACATGGGTGATAACGGGCCAATGAAATAATACTTATCTTTTTCTGCTATTTTAATGAATGTCTAAAATCGCGTAGGGCCAGCATTTTGGACCTCCTGGAGTCGGACCCCGACATCGACGCAGTGGTGGCCCTGGGCAAGCCTGCCTCAGTCCCCGCTGTGACCGCCGTGGAGCAGCTGGACATGCTGTGCGTCGCCGGCAGGACGCCCGATGGGGAGGGCGAAGACGGCTGCATCGCCGTTGTCACGTTCGACTTTGAATTCCCCGTCCTCGACTACATTGAGGTAATGGCCACGCTACTTGAGGTTGCAAGGGCTCGATCCTTGTTGAAGTAGTGATACCTGCTTTGTACCCTTGGTGCAAATTGCGATGATGCTTTGTGGTGGTTTTTGAACGAGTCTTTCCTGAGGGCGCTGGCCCCAGGCATCCCATGCCCTCGCTCCTCGCTCGCCTGTGGCAAATGGCAACCGAAATGCCATTAAAATGCGTGGTTGCTTCCATATTGCTTGCGAGCGCAGATTGATCAGGTATCGAAAAACAGGTGAAAATAGGTGATTCGAAAGTCGACTTATCTATTGGATCAACGTTTCGGTTTATTCTTCAATATCCTTTCCCACAAAGCAACGCGATTCACAGACAGTATGAACATTGTGGGGCGTGAACTTTCCAGTGCCTGGCACACTGCGCGGTCGCATTTTCGTGTACGTCTTCGATTAGTTCTGACTGTGTTGCTCTTTCTTGGAACGACTAATGCGCGATATAGTGTAAGGCTATGCAAGACATTTGGTAGGACAATGCACAGTGTGGGAATTAAGGGAACGTTTGGCCACGTTGAGTTGCGCGCTTGCAACTTTTCTTAATTCCAAAATGTTACATCACGTGTAAGCGCCCAAGCGCCTCCCCCGTCCCATTACAAGATGTGTGGGCCTTGTGCCGCAGAGCAAGGGCGTGCAAGGCGATGTAAAGTGTTCCAATCCACAAGAATGCTCAATCTCAATAAAAAGACATTTCGAAACTCCGTGGGAGTCCTGCTAAATTGATAATCAGAGCAAATCGCGTTTGCCTCCATGCTTGTTACAACGAACCGAAACGAGAACGCTTGCACCTTGTCGTCGCGCAGGAGGGGAAGGTGCTTTTCGGCGCGGACGAGGGCCCTTTCCTGCAGGGCGCCCTGCCGCTGGTGTTCCTCACGCTGCAGAACTTGTGGAACAGCATGCCCGTCGGGCTCGTCAACACAGGTGAGACCAGCGAACGGGTCTGCCAGTGTGGGAGATCCGATTGTGGCAGAATTGGCGGGTGGGAAGGCGTGCAAAATTCTGCGAAGAGGCTGAGCGTGCTGCCCCACGTTGCTGTACTGAAGCCCGTGTCAGGGCCCGTGCTGCGTCGATTTCTGGTCGTCTTATTCGGGCGGCGGAAGCCACGCTAATTTTGAAGGAGGAATGTGACGTGCTATTTGGAATTGGTTTAATGAAGCACCTGTTTTTCAAACCATCGAGCGAAAATGGATGTATACGTGCATTTTAGACTTGTGAAATTGTATACGGTCGTGTTCATACCATCTGAAAATCGGGTTATTGGAACACGATTTTGCACCGGTGCGCCCCTTCACGCCGTCGATTGACTCGACATTTCGTTTTGCGCCCCAGGGCCCAGCTTCGTCGACGTGACCAACGTCGGCCTCTACGAGTTCTTCGTTTGATCCGGCATCTCGTCCCGACTGAGGGCAACCCGTGCAGGGCACCGGCGCATTGGCAACAACGGTAGCAGCGCAAGGTGTGTGGCCTTCCATCTGAGTCCAGATATCCAAAAACAGGCTCGCGGCCTTGTGAGCAAAAGGCGTCTGAAGGGTCGGAATGGCCCTGAAATGGGCTTTGGCTGTCGTTCACGTCGCCCCCGCAGGTTCGTCTATGGGCGGTCGTCTACGTTTTTCTCTGGGTGGCTTCGCTCGTCTCGGCGCATCGGCGGCCAGAGGTCGTTCCGTCGAAACGACGGGCGATGAGGTCCCAACGCGACGAGGATGTGCCACTGAGCATCGGGGCGGGGGAGGCCCCAGCCAGTTTTCGGAATTTGACAAGGAACTGTATTCTGCAGAATTCATTTTTGCGAACAATGTAATCCAGACTCGGTAGCTTTTTCTTTTCTTTTCTTTGGAAGGGGGATTGGGTTGGGGGGTGGGGGGTCGAGGTGGACACCGCTGTGGGCGACCCTGGGGTGGATGGTGCATTGGAAATGAGGATCCCTGCGATGGGGCGGCTACGGCAGGCCATCATTTGTACGGACACCCACTGTATGATATGCCGGGAGCTGTAACTGTTGTTGACCGTCCTTCGCGGGGCACAATTTCTCCCTGACTCGAGGAGTGCATCTGAGCGACGTTTACATTCACAAGAGTTTCACTGTGCCGTCCCATCCTGTCACCTCAAGCATTTGCTGAAAAGGGGCTTCGAGGCGAATGAGGAGCCTCTTTTTGGGAGGCGTGTCCATTGCTTTTCGATTGTCATGACAAATGCTGGTACCGCATGTCCACAGCACGTGGTTGTGTTTGCGTGATGTTTTTCAACCGCCTGTGGCTCGTCCCCGGTTGAACCCACACATCGCGTTGCGACTTGTGCTCTCTCGCTCTGCTGTGACAGCATTGGTGGCGGAGGCCACATAGGGCGGCGCTGGAGTCCCCAAGACCACCCACGCAGCCGACGGCCTTATGTATCTGTAGCCTTTACGCCTCCCCATGACGCCGGCCACAGCTGCCGAACAGCAACGTCCCCAATTTACGCCTACGCCATGCTCACCTAGTCGCCAATACCACTCACTAGGGAAAAAGGGCCAAATAACACGTGTTCAAACGTGTGCAAAGTTTACGGGTTTGTGCTATTTTTATGTTCTTAGCATGCAGAACTTTGATGAAATGTGTTTTACGTGTCTTTGCAAAAGCGTTCTTTGGCCCTTTTTCTCTTAGTGACTGATACCGATCTGACTGTCGCCAAGCTATTTCACCTCCAACCCATTTCCCGAGCATGGTTTTGCATTTAATCGGTTCGCTGCTATTCGCCCTTCTCCCCACAGCCGCACCCCATTGCCAACCCCGGCCTTCAACCCCTCAGCATACCTGCAGCAGAAACTCGGTTTGGGCCAGTTGTCTGGACCCAGCTGTATACCAAACAGCACACATCTTCCACTATTTCAGAGATACCACGGTCGGGAGATGACCATAGTGTCAAGATGCAAGGGGGTGGACATTCCTCTACCTCCACGAATTTCGATCCAAATCTGGCCGGAGCTGTGAGACTGGAAAATGCTCATGAATAGGACTTTTAGGGATATATTTCTGGGGATTTGAGGCATATTTCCCTTCCTGAGAGATATGTGTCCCGACCATGCCCGATCATCTGGGGGGCAAGATACCGCAAATGGGACCTTCTACACATGCGCCACCCCGCACTGTCCTCCTCTAACACGGTGTTGTTCGATAGGCATGTGCCACCCGGCAAGCACAGGTATGTCCAGCCTGCCAGACCACGTGTAAAAGCTCCATTCGCCCGTCTCCACGACCCACAACGCGTCGCAATTCGCCAGGCGCACACCTGGCGCCTGTGTCGCCCGCAACCGACTTGTCACTTTTCTTCAATTCGACACATGTATTCAAATCAATTTTTAGTTCGACCGTTCCCTCCTTTGCAAGCGCCGGTCTCCGTCTCCCCTCCCCAGAATGTGCACAACGGCGATTCACTAATCACGGCTAGGAAGATTAAAAAGACAAACGAAAAGCAATAAAACAAAAAGCAGAACAAGCGAAAAATGCCAAGAAAAGCAAACAATTAGTTGAAAGAATGAAAGCAAAAACAGAAAATGCAAAAAAAAGCAGAAAAATGCCTCGTCACTCCCGTGCGCAGGACGTACGCATGCCCAGGAGGGGCCGCCTACGAACGCCTTGTCTTTCTCGCCCTCTTGAACAAATCTCCATCCCCTTCCCGTCCTCGGACGCCCGTGCGCGCGACGGCTCTAGGAAACAGCACAGGTGATCGCCCATCGAAAAAAGGAAAGAAACGCTGGCGTCAGTCCTCCCCCATGGACATGCGCGCTAGCCAGGCCGCCACCTGAGCGCCGACCGAGGCGTTGTGCTTGACGAGGGCGACGTTGGCGTCCAGGGAGGCGCCGCCGGTGAGCTCGCGGATGCGCTCCAGCAGGAAGGGCGTCACGTCGCAGCCCTCCACCTTCTGGGCATCGCACTCGTGCAGTGCGGTGCGGATGGCCTCCTCCACCTGCTCGCCCGCCGCGGCGCTTTCCTCTGGAATGGGCACGCCTGGGAGCCATTGCGCCGTGGGTTGAACGTGGAAGTTGTGCAAGTCGTGCAAGTGTAACTGTTGTGCAAGTTTGACTAATGCAACATACACCTACACCTGTATGCAAGTTTAATCTCAAATTATGCAAGTTTGACCTGGACTGGATGTACCCTGGACACGGACTGGATTTAAGCTGGAACTGCAATTCGGCCTGGACTTTTGCTTGGACTTTCTTTGCGTTGTACATGTGATTTCAATGTGCAGGTCATGGACACCGCTCTGGTCAGGCAAACCAAGGAGTTGACTGCTGCCACCTTGCCTGGCCATGTACAATTTTATGAGGGTGATGATGGTGATACAACATTAAACTTGCGAATGAAATTTGATTCACCTGCTTGGAGCATGAATGGGGTTGTTGGATTGTGGGAAATCGGGACAACGCTCTTTTGACAAACTAACGCTCTTTCAAGACACGATGGTATGTGTGACGTTTCATAGAAAGGCAAGGAGGTAGGCTCCAGTTCCCTGCTTTGCATAAGAAAGCTTCGCTCATATCCATGATTTGCTCACTGAATCCAAGGTGGTGCAGCAGTGAAAGCCAGAATCTGCCAATTCCCAAATTTTTAGAAGTGCGTGTTGAATAAACATTGAAACAGAAAATCTTTCACGAAAGCAAACGTGCTTAATCACATCTTCAACGAACAAAGCTGCAAAACTCCTCCATGGACCCGCAGTTCATGGTCGCAACCTACAAATGGCCGAGCAGACACGTCTTATGCATGAACGGGTCCTACATCCTTTAGTACATTACATCACTTGGTAATGGATAACCATTGTTTAATGCACAGAGTACACGCAAGACTGCCAAGCAATTTCCTGTTGTCGCCGTGAAATCGGGAACACGGTGTTCTGTGCGATATATCATGTGGGGAAACACAACCAAATGTTCTGGATCCAGCAAATTATATTACTGTCATTCTATTTGATTCTGTTTTGCTACTTTCACTATATTTACTACTTTCACTTGTATTCCAGCAGGAACCAATGCTGTCCTGGACAATTAAACCTCATCGTCTAGAGGGCGCAAGAGCTTGGCTTTTCATCGCTTCATTAACAAACGCAGATTCACATCCCCAGGCGCACAGACAACGTGGGAGTTGCCCACGACCGCGACTGCCGAGATACAATGTGCAACACAATACATAATATCGCCAAGATGTAATACAGATCTTGGAGATATATGCCATATATCCAAGATCAGCCCTAAAGTCGCAAAACCACTCACCCAGCACAATGCCAGTCCCCATCTTCAACCTCAAAGAGGCGTGCATCATCTCGGCGGCCTCCTGCGGCGTGTCCACCCTCGCGGGCGCTTTGCAGCCGCTGCTGGGCGTGAAGAATGCGGGGAAGTAGTCTGACCTGTAGGCTGCCACGCACACGGCCTGCGTCTCAAGGTATTCCAGGGTGCGCGGGATGTCCAGGACGGACTTCGCCCCGGCACACACCACCATTATCGGCACGCGTCCCAAGGCGTTGAGATCTGGCAGTGCAACAATCGTGGTCAGTTCGCGTCGATTTGGTTTTACTGATTTACTCATTTACTTACTTACTTATTTATTTATTTATTTATTTATTTATTTACATATTTACTTATTTATTCATTTGTTTATTGATTAGTAATTCTATTTAGGACATTTTGTTTTGTTTTATTTTGATTCCAAAGTCATCCTCTCGTCTTTGGGATGGGGTATTCAGAGAAGGCTTTAACATGGTGGCGCAAGGGCCACCTCCCTTCTGCAAGGACTGGGGAAGCATTGGGACTGTTGAGAAATGATGCAATGCTTTTCTATGTCCTATATATAATTTTGTTAGTTTCAACATATTTTTTTGAGACGTGAAGCAGGCTCCTCACACACAAGTGTTACGCAATGGGTCACAGGATGAGTGTGCCAAGCAATAACCATTGCTGCAGGCACACTCTCTTCACACACCCCACATCTCCATATTCCCGGACTCAACACCATTCTCACTGCACCACAGCCACAACCACACACAACAACCAGATTCAACACTGCAGTCCATATCATTACTTACATCGCTCGCCCTCACATTTGTAATCATAGTACTCTTGTTATTTCTGTGCTTCTTTTTGATTGGGGTGCCTCAAAATGAGGTAGTATTCCATTATCGTTGTGCTTCCTACTTGGGGTGGGGCAGGATGCCCATTTTGTGACATGCTTTCTCCTTTGACTCCAAAACATCGAGATTAAAGCACGAGCATGTGTGACGTGCTTCCTTTCTGTCAGGGAGGACGCCGTGTTGATTTTAGCGCACTCGGCGTCCAGTCATTTTCTTCCTTCTTGGCAGAACATGCATTGTCCGGGACGTCAATCAGTGTGGCACCAGGGTGCTGCCCACCAGCCGAGATGTCCATGGACAACTCCGCGCCTCGGTGCACACCCCCGATCCCGCCTGTTACAAAGACATGGATCCCTGCGGCTGCTGCCAGGAAGGCCGTCGCCGCCACAGTAGTAGCTCCATCCAAACCCTGCACCATCACAAACCCCGCGTCTCGTTGCTTTGGACAGGGGTGGCGATTGGACCATTGAATGGAGCGAATGACACAGAACATTATTTGCATATGCCTACGCGCAGGAGTGCACATGACATGTGATAGTTTGGAACCAGGGGACAATCTGAGCCACCACCCAGAGATGTTTTGCTGATATTCACGATGCTGGAAGGGTGTGCCCAACAGTTCTGCAGAGTTCCATATGGTGGGCTTTGGATACCGACATGTTGGATATTGACGATTTATGTGTAATGGTGGTTACAGCTATATGTGGCTTGACAAATGTCTGCATCGGATCATACTTGAATTTGCGTATGCTGGTGGCCTGACATCTCAACAGTTGATGGGCAACCAAGGAATGAACAACATCTTCTACCAAAGAATAGAGGCAACATGGGGTGTGATCAACACTTGAGCAATAAATAAATGCATTGGATGTGTGAATTCCCATCATCTCTTCAAGGCAAGTGTAATGTTTCACCCTGGCCAAGGAAAATGTATCCAAGAGAACAGGGTTAGATCTTGTGTTAGCACCCCGTGCTGACTAGCCATTTGGCCTTCCCCGACCACAGTTGTACCATGCATGTGGCCCCCTAAATGCAAAATCTGCCAAAAGCTGTCTTTGCCTTGCACAATGAAAGCATCTCATTTAATGTGTACCCTCCATGGGCAGCAAATGCCTTGAGAATCGTTTCCATCATCATGCTGCAGATGACCATGCAGATGACCACAAGGGCAAAAGACTCAGAAGAAAATGCAAACTGCAGCAAATAATAAATCATACGAGGCAAGGCAATGAGGTCCATTTCATACCAGTGCCAAACACCACCATTTTCACATTTCCGGAAAAGAGTTGTGAGCAGAGGTACAAACTTGGGCAGCTAACAATAATGTTGGGGTGCAAAATGCAGTGAGCCCCCCCCCCTCCCCCCCCCCAAAAAAATTGCCAGGATGATGCCATGCACTGCCAAGGCAAACGTATTCAAAGGATATCCAAGGATATCCAAACAGTGGTGTCAACAAATGCACTCTTGGCAGATAGAGCCAACCCAACACCAGGTTCGCCTCTCCTGGTGTTTCTTTTTGCAGTGCTTGCATTTTCTGCTCCTCTTCTTGTGCCTGAGCCTCTACATAATCTCTCTACAGTATGGAAAAGAGAGCCACGCACACTTGCCTAGGAGTGGGGTGCCCTCTGTATGACCTGTTTCGTTTTTGAATCTAAACAGACGCGGCGTGTCACCATAACATCGCAAAACCATATACATTGCCCAGTGTGCCAGGCAAAATCCATAGAATAACTATTAAATGAAACAACAAAAATGAGACAATAACAAAGCAGCAATCCACAAGAGAAGGTCAAGTGCTAATTGGGCAGAGACAATACCTTGGCCATCACGATTGGCAGGTCCCGCATGGATGCCTTGCGCACGGACGTCCCCTTGGCTGCCAGGGCCTCCAGCTCGATCGATGTCAATCCCGCCTTTGGAACGCCACCCACCACAGCCACGGTAGCTGGCACTGCGCCATGGCTCCGAATGACACCCTCAACCTGCAGCAGGGGCGTGAAGCGTTTTGCCACATGACCAGAAGATTGACGATATTGAGGAAAAAAGGTTCGATTATGAAATTGACCTTTTTCACAAGTGGCAATTTTGCAGACAGAGGAACCCATGCCTTGCAGAGGGACTGCCCTCCCAAGCATGGAACAAAACTTGTCTGTGAGAGGCAAACACCATCTCATGCACTGGGGACACACCTGCCCAATGAGGATTGTGCAAGGACAACTGAACGTGTCCTAACATGCCATGCGAATGCCACTCACTGGCAGCAGTGCGTGTGGCTGCTCAACACCAGCAACCAGACTGCCTCTTAACCCCACAGCACCCAAAGGTGGGTTGAAGAGAATGTGAGCCAATAGGGTGCAAAGCCACGCAATGGATGCCTGCGCAGCCAACATTGCCAGCAAGATGTAAAACACCCGATATGCTGATCAAGTGCCAGTGTCATCAATGCCATTGACATTGCCAGCAGAGCGCAAGGTTGCCCTTGTTCCCCCCAATTCAAGTGCATTAGATCGGCCATCATCTTTCACAGACCCCCCGGCTGTCAACGCACAATGCAAGCCAAACATCACCGGAACCCCCCACGCCAAAACACAAAACCTGAAGCAATCCCCTACGCAAAAGGCCACACATGTCCAAGACACGCTGTTTGGATTTACACAAATGCCCTACATATCCAATCAGCCGGATGGTGGTGGTGTCCACCACCATTATCCAGGTGGATGACCCGTTTCTTGCCCTCTTTGCAACGCATTTTACCATATCCCCCACACCAAAGCCCTTGTACGGCCTGTTTCTCTCTCTGTTTGGAACAAATCTTACCGCACACACCAAAGCACAAAGCCTGAATCAATCCCCAACGCAAAGATCCACACACAACCAAGCCAAATATGGTTGATCTACCTGCAAATTCCTACCAAATAACTCCATCTCCAACGTCTACAAATTGCCTGCATCTCCGATCACTCGGATGATGCGTTTCTCCACCACAACGATCACATGATCCACTCAATACCCACATCTCCAATCACACCTGCAGCGCGGTGGCCAGGTTCTGCGGGTAGGGCATCCCGTGCGTGATGATCGTCGACTCCAGCGCCACTACGGGCCGCCCCAGAGACAACGACTCAGCCACCTCGTCGCTGAGCGCCACTCGCGGCGCCATGGATCGGATCCTCAGCACAGATCGGCCGCGGGCGGCTGGCGGGGTTGCGTGGCGGAGGAACGTCTGGCGTAGGGAGGAGGGCGATCTGCTTAACCCGCAAAGCAGGGCTATAGAGGCAGAAGTCAGTCACTTGTCTGGGAGTTGTGTGTCCAGTGAAGCTTTATTTCCAAAATATTACATCGCATTTCAGCGTCCAGGTGCCAACTGAGGCCTTTCCCAGTAGGGAAAGACACTAAGTCGATTTCGGTACGCTTAGCGCCAATTTGATGCAGGGGAGGGGGATCCAGATTTGTTGAAAACGACGCTAGGCGTACCAAAATCGACATAGTGCCTTCCCTAAGGACCGCCCACAACGAGACCGCTGGTAGCGACTCCCTGTAGCACTGGCGAATTCTGCATGGCTGCCGCTCGGAATGCTGCAACGCTGAAACCCGTAATATTGTGTTGATCCTTTGTTAACGGGAAAATAACAAAAGGTGGTCCTCTGTGAGATATCTTGACGATAGGGGATCCTCTGTGGCAAAAGGGGGTCCTCTGACCGCCCACTGTGCATTAGGCGCGTTGCCAGACCGGCAAAAGACTGGCACCGGTCTGGCGCCAGACCGGACCACAGTCTTACTAGGGGCGACCCGTGGGAGCGCGTCACGGCGATCGGGGTGTGAAGGGGAGTCGCGGCGATCGGGGCTGTCGGGGAGACCAAGCAGCGACCCAAGCTGCCGGAGAGAGCACGCAGCGATCGGAGCTGCGAGCAAGACCAAACGGCGATCGGGGCTGCGGGGAGAGCAAGCGGCGACCGGAGTTGCGGTGACAGCAAGGGGGGTTCGGAGCTACCTGGGAGATCAGATGGCGATCGGAGCTCCGGGATGGAGTCGTAGATATCAGAACTGCGGGAGAGAGCACGCGGCAATGGCCAGCGCAGCCATGGCAAAGCAAAGCGAGGGGCAAAGGTTCAGGTAAACGGCAAAGGCCAAGAATGGTTTGGTGATGGGTCGGATGGCTGAGAATCCTCTAGCCATGGCAGAGCCTCTCTCGGCGATCATGAGTGTGCTCCTAGCAAAAGAAAAGCACGGACGTGTAGGCAAATGGTGTGATTGTAAACCATGTAATTGTCAGTGCGAACTGAGTTGTGTGGGACAGTTATGGGGGATCCAGGGATGGCTGCTGATGATCTGTGAGAATGTTTGTGGCATCAGTACTGATGTTGGCTGATAATGCCTTCATTATTGAAAAACTATGACCACTGAGTTGTGTTGTACAATTTTGTACAATCTCTGTGTAAGGGTTACTAATTTCTAAAAGTCCTGTGGTGAAAGTTGTGTGTTTTGCTAGGGGTTTAAACAACTGATTGAAATTCGACCACCACTACTGAGGGCCGGCGATAGCTGTGAGAAAGTGGCTGAAGAGATGCTGCCCACAACTTTAAATATTCTGGTACGATTTCTGGTCTGAATATTCTGTCTTTTTGTGATCTTTCTGAAGGCTGAAATCTACAACACACAAGCTTTGGCAGATGCGGGGCAATTGTAGCACTTTGATGTTATAAGAGCTCTTTTGCAAAGTGAAGTCACTGGCAACATCTAGCTGGAAAAAATGGCCCTTGAGCGCAGAAGCCATGCCATACTGACGGTTTTCACAACTGACTTGTGAAAACCCACAATCCAAACAATGGCCAAGCTGCCATTTTTGGACTTGTCAGGCACTAGCAAGTCCGATCAAACAAAAAACTACGCTGCATGCACCTCATTGCATTAGAATAGTCGCCAACGACCTTGCCCATCGAATGCAACCCATCAATCACAAATCGCGATCGTTATCAGGCGATTGTGACCCCCTGACCCATGTGGTGAGCTACCAGTGTGTCTCAATCAATACTTATGGCATGAAACTCACCAAAAAGACACACAGTATTGTGTTTGCGATCTCAAAATAACGTGCAACCATTTCGATCCATGCATACGGATTCAATGCATGTCCATTTATTTCTTGAATACATGCTCAAAGCTCATGCAACATTCACTCCTTTGTTCCACGCAGGTGAGCATGCAGGTTTTTGAATTGCCCAGATTGAACTAAACGTCATGAGAAGCCAACGATTTGAAATAATGAAATCTTTAGGCTTGCATGCCATCCCTTCAGATTTTGCCCCAAAAGTCGTTCTTTAATGACTTTTGAAACGGCAACACAACCATGCCATTACTCATAATGTTTCATATATTTTTGTGGAGACCAATTGCATTTAATTGATACACCAAAGGCAGGAGGGGTCATGTAAATGACATCACGCAGACCCTACAGACCCCTTCAACACCCCCAAGAGGGAAAATGACAAAAGGAGGTAATTTGAGAGATATCTTGACAAAAGGGGGTCCTCTGTGAGAAAAGGGGGTTCTCTGTGAGAAAAACGGGTCCTCTGTGAGAAAAGGGAGTCCTCTGTGAGAAAAGGGAGTCCTCTGTGAGAAAAGGGGGTCCTCTACGATACAGGGGGTCCTCTGCGGGGTCAACCCTAGTAGGACCGGCTTGCCAACAGACGCCAGTCTAGCGCCGGTCTGGCAATGCATCTAATGTACAGGGGCGGTCAGAGGACCCCCTTTTGTTATTTTCCCTTTCTTAAACAAGATGGGAAAGGGCCTTACGCCTCTTGTTCCCATCCATAGCAATGGCCGTGGTATTCCTCCTCCATCCCATCTTCTATTTCGTGGCCCAAACGTTCCATCGTCGGAGAAAAGAGCTACACATATGGCAACATTCAAAATTTGAATTGTGCGTTTCAAATCGCGATCGACATGAACTTCGATATCCAAGATACGGAAGGGTATATGGGAATCCCGTGTCTGACAAAGACTGTGCGTGTAGAGATGGTGATGAAGGCAGAGACGGTTGGTGCAGAATTCGCCTATGGTACACGGAGTCGCCCGCGAGCTTTTGCTGGGCCAATGGCAGGGCCACAATGCACGCTCGCACCTCAGGCATCTAAGATCAGGACTCATAAGATCTAGCAAATTCAAATGTGCCCCCAAGTACGACCAAGGATTGGTTGTTGTGCCAATTAGGGGCTCATCACCTTACCCCCTGGGGGGCAGATTGCAGAACGCCCTTGCGCTGCCTTCTGACTATGCATTTGAAAACCCATGGGTCGCGTGTGCGCGCCCCACGCCACACACACAAACCACATGGATTTCATTGGCGTTTTGCCTGGCGACTAGTTGGTGTTTACGGTGCTCTCATGCTGTTGGACCTAGCTTGCTAGTCCCTGGTCAAACAACGCTCGGGCTGTTCGCAGCCCCGATGTGCCCGAAATAGCCTCCTTGCTCCCGTGCAGGAATGTACTTAGTGCGTGGATGTAACATCCGTCCACACACATGCACATATGCACACACGTACGCACGCGTGTGCGTATTCAAAACCTGGTTGACCTTGGGACTTAATTGCCAAACAACTACTAGGGATGGAAGCCTGACTGCAATGCCCTTCCTACATTGGATTTTATTTGGCTTTCTTGGCTTTCTTTTTCATGCTGGGCCGTTGTGGGTGGATGGTTGGAGTTGTGGGCCCAGGAATTCTGTGCCATGGATACTTTTCATTTCTGATGGGCCCCCCAAGATGTTGGACCTGGCTTGCTAGGCTCCTAGACAAACATTGGATGGGTTGTCACAACCCAGAAGGTGCCCGGAATAGCCTCGTTGCTCCTGGGCCTGATTGTAGTTTGTACAAGGTTGTAACATCTTGACATACACACATACACACACACGCAGACACACACAAACACACTAGCACGCAATGAATTTGAAATGTTCCTGCACTATGGAGATTTGGGGCAACTCCTTCTGCCACTTGCAACGGCGGTCCAAAACTGGCGCCCTCAATCGGCCGCCACCTCGCCGTTCGAGGGGCCTCCCGTGTTTGCAGCTACAGCTCGCGTTCCGCTTGCCCCCTGCGCCCCCCCTTGGACAGGACTATCGAATGCCTATTTTGTGATGTGATTCTTGCCATTTGGGGACATGCAGTCGGTCTAAACGAGGACCACTCTCACAATCCTGTAAGAAACACGACACGAAATAATGAAATAGCGCTGTGCGCCCTAGCAGGGCAGCCCGCTGCGGGCTGCACGCCAGGCACCCCGCGTCCAAAATTGTCCGCCCACAACGCACAGCCTCCAATCACCCCCAGCCGTGGCGTTTCCTTGGGGCAGGACAGCCTACCCCCTCTGCCGCACTCCCCAAACGGCCTCCAAACCAATCGAAGTGGTCTCGCTGAAAATAACCACAACAATGCAGCTCAACACCTGAGTACCTAAACGAATCAAGCAGGCAGCATGCTTGTTCTGTGATCCGCCTAACGCACCCCAATCTGTCACAAGTCCTTGCCGGGCCATGCATCTCCCACGCCTCTCTGCAGTATTGCACGACCCCCAATATATTGCCTCGATGACCGCACGTCCCGTAGCGCGCTTCACCCTACTGAGGTCTTCTATTTCCGTTCCTGACAAGCTTTGACCCTAAGCCCTTGCTGTGGCCAACACCACACTGGGCAATCAGCCGCTTTACCACCCCTCCACCAGCGACCGTGGTCCTTTCTATAGATATGCCACCAGCCCCACCACCATAAGCTGCCGCAAGCCTCACCAGAGTCCAACCATCCATTTGCCAGCCGACCATCAACACCGCACCAATCAATCCTGTTGCTGGCCACGACAATGCCAGCAGACAGGAGCCCGTGCAGCTGCCGGCGTTCCTCCTGCAGCTGCGCGCACATCGCTCGTGAGGGACGGACCTGTGGGAAGCAAGCCCATCTTCTGCGCATGCGCATTAACTGTGGTTTTCCAAAGAACAGCTGCTGTGGAGACGTGGTCCCCGAACAGCAGCCAGAAGGCGATCTTCACCAACGCCCACCTGCCGAGCCTGTCACCTTGTGCGGAACCTCTGCAGCAGTTTCCTCGATGAGCGTGACTCGTGCTGGGCCTCCAGGTCCAGCCGGTGCTCCCTCAGCTCCTGCAGCCGCCC